AGCTGCCACCTGCAACTTCTACCTCGCAGTGCAGGATGGAGCAGCCAAGGGGGCAGCTAGGCTGATAGGCACTGAGCAATGCTGACTTCCAGCAGTCTCTGCCAGCTTACCTTCTCTCACAGGTGGAAGATCGATCCATCACCAACAGCACAATGGATCACCACCCACATCCATAGGGTTTGAGAGCTGTATGTGTCTTGGAAACCCAGACATCAGCAATTCCTCTGATACAGCACAAAAAGAAGAGAAAAAAAGGCCCCAGGGGCTCTTCAGTGTTCCTTTTGTGGTTCCCACATACAGTTCTCTTATGTGCACATCCTCGCAGCAGGTGAAAGATGCTACTCAGGACTCCAGCTGGTCTCCCTCCCACAACAGCCTAATGCTTCAAAAAGCACCAAGGCTGACATGAAAGAGGGCTTTCAAAGAAAACAGACCAACCCAGTCTCTTCAGACAAGAGGCTGCAGTAAGTTGTAAGCTGGAAGAGGTCTTGACACTTCCAAGCGCCCTGTTTTTACAACCAGGCTCTTCCACTGCTAACCATGTCCTAGTATTTTTAAGTTTCTGTTTTGCTGGCTCCACTCACTGCTAATACCTAGGGGACTCTGAGATGGAGTTGGGAGGACGTAAAGACTATGTAAAGGCATTTCAAAGCACTGGAGTAGTGCTGTGACAGCCCCTAACCAAGCCCAAAACTGAACTTGGTTGGAGTCAGAGCACTCACTCCTGCACAGACCCAAGCCCCTGACCCATGGAGGGACAGCCTGGTGCAGCCTGTGGTGGCATGTGAAAGGGCTCTTCTGCTCCCCTGTGCAACGGTTATACTTGGCAAGCAGAGGGAAATGAGTAAATAAACATGTAAGAAAGGTTTACAGTTTGGACTCAAGATCCAGAGTTTATATTTAGTAACCTCCTCTTTATTTTAGCATGTTGTCACAAACCAAGTTTGTGACATGGAAATGGCTTCGTGTCTGCTCATGTTTGAGATGCATGCGGCTGCATCCTCAGCTGATGCTTTTGAAGACATCAGTCAGTCACAGGGCATTTGCCACATTTCCTTCTTGCCTTCTGTCCCACCACTGTAGGTGTGAGTTGTTCTTGGGAAGCTTCAAGCAGGCTTTGTGCAAACTAAAAAGCTATAGGAGAAAAAAAAAAAAAGTATCCTACCCTTGCAAATAATTACACTGCTTTATTTTTCAGTATCACAGTCCCAGGAAATGAAACAGTCCAGATTCTTTCCAAGATATTACACAGCCTTTTTTCCATCTCTCTGGCCACAAAATAATCAAATTAAATACAAATTTGTTGTTTTGCTACATTTATTACATTGGAAGAACATAATTACTGGTAGAAGCAGCTGAGCTCCAGGAACCAAGGGTGGAACGAAGTGGTGTTTTCTCCTGTTCTTGTGTAACCCACGTCAGTGTTTCCAGATAAGGACACAGAGGAACAGAAGGATGTAGTGGGTAACAAAATACAGCGGTTTATTGACAAAATGGGGCAAGGCAATGTTCCCTTTACATTCAATGCGAATTCAGGAGTATGAAGCAAAACATGCTATACACACACAGACATGATACTTTGGTTAAATGTCATTCAGAAGTTCTATGCCAAACCTGGTAAAATTATAGAGTGAACAGTCAAAAAAAAAATAGGCTTGCATAGACAGATTATTGTCAGTGCGCAATTTAAGGATTAGCTGTTGCAACACAGGGTACACTTGCACCTCTGAGGAATTTAAGCCTTCTGACTAATCCATCTCATCGCATGGCTAGTATCTAGATTCATCAGGCTGAAAGTTTACCCTGAAGAGCTAAATGAGACAACTGCAGTTATTTCTGAGGCAATTAACTATATTGCAGTGCACAGATGCAGCTGGAGACACACCGTGGAGTCTACTTAGAGTGAACACTGATACAGTGGAACTTGTTTACCGTGAAGTAGAAAACACTCATTTGTGTGTGCCACTGTCCTCTCTGGGACTCTCCTGAAAGAGCCCAAACTGCACAGCTAAGCCTTGCCCTGTGCTACTCGCAGGGAGGAGGTGGCGGCTGTGTCTCCAGCCCAGAACCCGAGAGCAGTACAGCTTCTCAACACAAAACCTGTGTCCTGCAGCCTGTCCTGGGCATTGCAGTCCAAGTGGCACTTGTTTGCAGCACAGCCAGAGCCTCCACGGCAGTACTGCACAGCCAGAAATGTGCTACGGCACGTGTTTTAAAGAGTACAGTAAACTGGGATCTCTGTAGGTTTATGCCTGTCCTGTGCAACAAAAAAAAAAAAAGACAAGCTGCCTATGGTATACTTCATGCGAGGGACACTGTTGTGCCTCAGCGCTATATCCCACACCCACCTCCCACAAAACTAAGCACTGAGCATCTTGAGAGAGTGGGGCAAAACCAACTGTCCATCAGCTAGGGACGAATATAGGGCAGAGTAAACCTCAAAGTCACCCCCAGATGGGAATTCCTGCTGCAGTACCCTCCCTGGCATCACTGCCAGGAGCAAGACAGCAGAGAGCTCGGTCACGTGTCCATCCATGCTATGAGCTGTGCTTCGTTCCCTATTGGATCTAACATAGCCTTGCAGTGCCAGTACTGCCGGGAGGAACAGCAGGAGCAATCTGCTCAGGGTGACAAAGGCCCAGAAGATCATTCTGTATAAGAAGCAATGGGTTTCATGGACTGGCTGTGCTCGATTACAAGAGTGTAAACTAAGTAGGGGAATCCTCACACTGTCTCCAAGTGCTCCCCTTTATATACAAATTAGCAATCCACAGTTAGTTTGCATACCGGTTAATATGAATTAAAATAAAAACCTTGATAATAAAAATATATATAATATACACATTGATCAATAGCAATAAACTGAATGAAAACACTAGAGTGTAACAGTGGCTGTAATTTGGCACAAAATAAAAACACACAAAGGTCTAGCACTGTAAAAATAAAAATCCTTTTTTTTTTTTTCCCCTAAGTAAGAGAAGGTTGTTAATCCTGATTCAAATCCTGACAGGTGGGAATGCAGAGATATAAAAATACTGTACATACAAGATCCCTTTTACAGAGTGAAGCAGACTGCAGCATTTGTAACTTCTATCCTTCCTCCCCAAGAGGAGAAATTCAATGATGAGACTTCATCTATACCCTAACAGCTGATATTTTCCCATCCCACTAAGTTCAAAACCATGAAGTTCTTTAAAAAAAGATGAGATTAACCTGTTGGATCTCTCCACGTGACGACCACTGCTTCTCGCTGCAGGAAGCTGTACAGTCCGCATTAAGACAGTGTTTCATAGCAAGGTGACTCAGATCAGCCTGCTGAAGACATTGAGTATTCCTGCATGTAAGGCACGATCACTCCGGTTCACCCGACCTCTCTTCTGCAGACCATTGTGCTTCGGACAGAGGTGAGGAGGTGGCGAGAGCTCTTGCTGGTGAGGTGTGCCTACTATGGAGATTAGGAAGTGCCAGGATTTCACGGTGATGAATTTTCCACATGGTGCCTCTTGCCTTGTTAATGCAAAGTCAGAAAGGGATGCAAGACCTGAATGACCTAGGCAGGGGTCCCAGCAAGGGCTCCGACATGCTACTAAATCCAGAGCAAAACCATAGGCAAAGCTACTAAAACTTGGCAAGAGAAGACAAGGAAAAAATAAAGTTACTTAAACATTTTTCTGTCATAGAAAGGAAATATTGCTCTGATTGTTTCTTTTTAAAAGATCAACTTCATTGTGCCTCTTTCCAGGGACACATGTGCAAGGTGCTGATTTTGCATCTCACCTACGCAAGCTGCATCTTCTTGACTCTCAGCAGAACCATGGCTGCTGAGCCCCAAGATGAGTTGGCTCCTTGTTCATCCATAATCTTAACTCAACTCTTGTTGACTTCAATGGGACCATGGAATCTCCTTCCAAAAGTGGTTACTAAACGCGCCAGTCCAGTTGCAACCTTTGCCTCAGGAAGTCTCTAACCTGCACGACTGCATGAGGCCCACAAGGTATATTAGATGAACAATTGCTCCGTTTGTTTATACCCCGTTTACTACATGCTTTCCTCAGCTGCCATTCCTAGCATTTCTCTCTCTCTTGATAGGTGTCAGCCCCTTCTAACAAAACCTTAGGGCCCCCCTTTTCACAACAGCTATGGAAAAATAAAACAGGAGAAACACTTAGAAGGGACAGCAAATGAATAAAGGCAGGGAGTAAGAATAAAAAGGACTAATGGAGGATATAGAGCAAAGCAGTCCCTAAAGCATTCAACACTCCCTGAAGGCGTCCAAGGAAGCAGCAGACGCTCCTGGGATCCTTCCCTTGGGCTCTCCTCTCTTGGTGCCATGGCTGCACAGCTTGGCCGGCCCGAGGAGGCCATCAAGGAGATCTGCACCTCCACTGAGTAGGCACCGAGGTGTTCCTCAGACTTTACCCAGCTTCCAAATAAAATCACCTGGAGTTTTCTCTCTCATCATTTCCACTCGCTCCCATTGAAGTCAAGAACTGGGACACTTCCAAGCATTCCTCCTGAATTAATAGGTTCTTCAAATGCCAGCAGGCTCAGGGCCTTCACAACTTTTCTGATTAGAGTAAGACAGAAGTTACATCAGCCAACTGCAGTGCAAGAAAGCCCGTCACAGTCAGCTACAGAGGCCCCGGGAGGGCTGAATTCCTAGTTGGTGATTTACCCTTGCCCTTTGCAGAGGGTCACCATTTTTCCCCACACGCAGTGAGTACAAAGCACAACCACTTTCTGATTGGCAGGAGTTTTCCCCATCCAGTTTTCACAAGTGCACCAGATGATACAAGCAGCAGGGCCTGGACTGGGGTGTTTGTAGAAAGTATTAGTTCATAAAACCCCACCAGGCATCCATTTCACAATAAATACTCTGACAGCAATGGAGGGGAAAAAACCCACATAAAAAAAAAAAGGCATTTTCAGCAGTAGGGATTTTGACTGGTACATGAAATACAAAAATAAATTTTTACAAAATAAGATCTTTGCAGATGAGTTTGCCACATCGGCCCAAGTTATCAAATAACAAAAGAAAAAAATAGGGCCTATGTTGTCCTTTTTCCAGATTCTTTAAAACAACGTTAACACTTCTGAATGGACAGAGATGGAACAAGAAGAGGGAACAAGGCGAGGACAGTAAAATCTAGCTGCTGGCTGGGATATCTCCTGAGAAGAAGCAGCAAGCAAGCAAGACCTTGCAAGTCACTTAAGGGTTCATGCAGGTGAGCAAGCTCACAGTCTGGAAGCAAGGGCACACAGCCAGCAGGATGCTGCCGATGCACAAAGTCCTACGTTACAAGATTTTTTTGGCTAGTGTATGCCTGGAGCAGAGGTCTGTCAAGGGTTATCTGGTTCTTTATAGTGAACTGCTGCCAACAGACCAGCGGGGGTAGGAGATGGAAGTTTGAGTTAAGCAAGGCAAGGCATGGGCTTGTGCTGTCCTATTAAACTTGCCCCTGCAACTTATGTGAAAAAGGAGTTGCCTTATCTTCCTAGTGATCTTCCTCAGTAACTATCCCGACCAAGAACAACAGCCAAAGTGAAAGCCTTACAGCTGCCTTGGGGCTTGAATTGTGCATTAGTAAAAGAGCAGAGAGACAATCTCCTCCGATTTCTTATCGGTGCTCCACACCAGCGTGTGCTTTCCACAAAGCTCTACAGCGCTGTCAAGGCTCCTTTCCCAGGCAGATCGGTGGCGAGGGCAAGTACAGTCACGCCTCTGCTTCCCCTCCTCAGCAAAGCCAGCAGCAGAATTGCAGCTGCCAGCAGAAGACGAAGAGCATGGTGGGACAGACTCAGTGCTGGGCATTAAGGAAGCTGGGCTGCAGGGGCAAGGCAGCCAGGCTTGCTGCCGTGAACTGGACTGGCAAATGAATAACTACACTGTACTGGCTGAAGAGACTCCAAGCCAGCATCCAGACGCTCAGGTTTGTAGTTTAAAAATAAAACTGAAAAAAACAAAAAAAAGGCAGCAAAAAAAGTTATTAAAAAGACAAAAATTGAAATGAGAGGAGACCAAGGGAAAAGGCTACTTGTTTGCCCTCTGCTCTCTGAAAATGATTCTTCTCTTGTGCAAACAAGCCATTGAAAGGGAGGGGAAAAAAAAAAAAAATCACTGCATGGGCAAATTTGTTCAGACAATTTGAACTTGAAAACCCTGCTATGCCCTAGAAAGCAACAGTTTTATTCTGACTGGAGTCTGCCTGGGGTGCTGGACGGAGCAGCGTAGAGAGGAAGCAGTCAGCACAGACATTGTGTGGACTGTTTAGGCACTCTCTGTCTAGCTCTAAGTTGCCTATAACTGTAGATTTGGGATTCAATGCTCAATACCCATACGGCCCTTCTTCAGCCCCATGTTTCCAAGACGTATGCAGGTTCAGACACAAGTCACTGTACTCAAGTGCATCAGCAACTGAGCTAGGAGTTACAGTAGTTCCTACTTGGTTTTAGTGAAATTCCTTGGCTTCTACCACAGTGAAGCTCAAAGCAGGTGACCACAGAGGTCCCTTCAGGCATTTAAATCTGTTTGTACGATTCTTCCCAATCCACAACTTGCAGCTTCATCAGCTCCCTGGCATGTCTTAAAAGTCATGCACACAAGGTCTAATTTCAATTGAAATTGTCTTTCCTTTTAACTGTTCTATCCTATATCCTGGAGCTAAATGCCTGGTTACACACTCTACCCAGATTGCTGGAAACCCTAGAAAGAAACACAGCAGTTAAGAAATTTTGTTCTATAGGCAATTTCTTCCTCACCAGTCCCAGGTTCTGGCTTTTGCTGATGTATATTATGAAGATGCTCTCTCCTTCCTGCAAGCTAGCATGACTGTCAGGTTGACTCAGCTGTCTTATCCAGCATGGGAAGAAACACATTTCCTCTTGTAACTCTCTTTGCTAAGTCATCCTAATACGAAAGGACTTGTACTTCTGACATTCTGCTGCATTGCCATAACTCAACCCATTTCTTGGATTCTCCTCCCTGTTGTATGTGCATCTCTATTTGTCCTATTTGTCAAAGCTCCAGCCAAAGCTTAAAAATAAAAGGAAAGCCTCAGAAGAATGTAAGAGGGAGCTGTTAAGTCAGCTAGTTGATTCACACAGCTCAGTGGCAGCTAGATTATACTGCACTGCTTAAGTGATCACATATGAGTAAGAAATTGAAACAAACAATGTTCCTTATTAATATGATGACACTTAAAAAAAGAGATCCTGGGAGTGGAGGGTGGACATCCCATTGGGTAAGGAATTGAGAAAGTTGCCTGGCAATTCCAGTAATGTTTGCTACAGAAGAGTCAGTACCAAAGCAAAGGCTAGCACAGTTTACTGCTTCCTACGGGAACCTGGAAAGCCAAACAGAAAGAAAAAAAAAAAAAATCTGTAAGAATAGATCCTGGTGAAGAAAATACTACCTGCAGTCATTTTTCACTTGTCCTGCCCTCTTGGATGTCTGTGTGACTTCCAGGGTAGTGGTAAAGTCCAATGCCAAAACGGGAACCGTATGTTACACTACTCAGGCAAAAGGAAGAATAGGTCCACAAGACAGGTAGACATTTGCATTTATTCTGGGCTGTGAATGGCACTGCATCCACATTGTACAGTTTCACTAAAGAAAACAGAATGAACGCTGGGCTTACAGACTCTAGAAAGTGCCATCAACTTTCCAGCTTGTTTGATGAAGACAGAATGCAAAAGTTTCCCAACTTTAAATTTTGGGAAGTAAACTGTCCACATTTAAGTCACAATCAGTGGAGCTGGAAGAAATTTGAGCAACTGAGTTGAACTCTGGCTCTCCCCTTCCTCCCCCAGAGACTCTACAGATAATATAGCCAATTGGCATTCAGAAAAAACTGGGGGGGAGACCCTAACCACATTGCTCTTGTGCCAAGTGAATTCAGGAAACAAGCCAACAAAGCAATGCTGAAATGCTATATGAACAAAACAAGCCTGTTCTCAGGACAAGCTTCTGTCTGATCATCCCATTCACCCGCCAGACAGGTGATACTGCAAGGTTTTGTCTTGTATTGGATTGTTTGATACTAGTGAGTCACCTAAAATCCATCATGTCATCGTCTTTATGTTATTTCTCCTTCATTTGCTGCCTGGATTTATAGTCATTCATCATTAAGAGATCACGGAGGACAAGCAGAGAGCAGTTTGACAAACTCAAGGCAAACAAATTCCGCTTTTCAGTCTCCCAGCCTGCAACGTGCTCAGCAAGTACAACTCGAACACTTGACTAGCATCACCTGCCTGCTGGGGCAATTAATATCCATTCCTTCTCTCTATTAGCATCCTCCTTTGAAACATCCTGTCCTTCAGGCTGGTTATTTGAGGAAAACAGCCCACAATAACCCAAGTGCTGGGCAACCATAGGTTTGATCCTACCTTTAGGAGAGTGCTCAGGTTTGGGGACGTGACGCAAGGGGCTGGGCTGGCTTGTGTAATATCGAGCATGTTCAAAGTCATCAAGGAGAGGCTGTGACCTGCCAACACAGGGGGGCAGGGAAAAAAAAAAGGCATTGGGAGAAAACCTGAAAAGCAGAACAGCATGGCAAAAGCAGTATCTCAGCTACCTGGTCTGTCCCTGTCAGTTTGATGCAAACTGTGTCTGGCCCAGACTTTCCACCAGCAGACAGCCCACTACTGTTTCTGTGGTGAGAAATGCACAGTATTCACTACACTTCTCATGGACCGCTTTCAATTAATAATGGTTTCAAGTTGTCAAGCATCAAAGAATTTCCGTTATGAAGTTTGATGCAAGCCTCTCTCAAAAGGAAAGCGCAACATTTCGAAGTGTTTAATGCTTGCTCAGTTTTAACCCCAGAGTATTTTAGCAAGATCTCTCTCAGTCTCCACCTGCACACCTTGTTTGTTGTTTCTTTTGCAATTCAACAAGAATTTCTAGGCTTGTATCAGGATTGGAAATCAAAGCCACCAGGGTCACTTCCAGGGTTCAGTCTCTCATCAGGAGCACCAGGCCAGGGTACCGAGTGATTCAGAAGGGCTACAGCACGTTCCCATCAGCCCTGGGATGAGGTACCCCAAAACACAACATACTTGCTTGCAGTGGGGTGTCCACACACAGCAGCGGGAACAGTGTAGAGGGCTTAACTGGGGAGCAGGGACCCGAGGCAGGAGCTGTGCAAATGCGTCGTGATTACTTCTTCCCGCCCGGGGATGCCAGTTGGTTTCACGTCCCCAGAAGCTCTTTAACCCTCTCAATGTTTCTCTGCCATTTAACAGATGTCACTGCACAAGCTCATCAATCTCTGTCAGTGCCAGGCAGGGAGACCAATAGGGACAAATGACACGAGCACAGCAAGTGACGCGTGTCACTGAACACCTCATGAGCTCTGTGCCCTCCACCTCTTTTCAGTGCTAAAACCTCTGCTCTCTACCAAGCCCCTTGTGGGTAGGTGTGGCTGGTCGCCCCACAACCCCTCCCTAGAACTCAGCTTCTGAGCAGCTTTCCGACTTCATTTCCCCATTTTCACCAGCCAGTTCAAGCTTACCTTGAAGACCTGTTGCCTTTGTGTCGCTGAGTTTCAGGCCCTTCTGTTGACCTTGAGCGCGTGGACTCGCTTGCATCTTGCTGATGGGAAGAAAGGAAAGCAGCTCATCTGCGTGCCTTGCAAGGCACCAGCCAGTGCCTTGAGGCCGCCACAGCTCCATGCAGTCCTTTCGTGCTCAGTTTATACATACAACTAACTTCAGCCAAACACGTGCAAATGACAGTATCAGGACTAGTTTCCAGTAAATGAAACTCAGCCTTGCTGAGCCAAACTCAATTTCTGCTCTAAATATGAGACACCGCTGAGGGACCCGTCCCAAAGCTGGGGTCAAATGCAGTCAGTGTGTAATGACTGTGCACATGGCTGGGCTAAGCACAAGGGATCAGCTGCACACAGCTGTGCTCCTGCAACCACTCAAACACAGCGAGGAGGCTGAAAACGTCAGAGCTACCTCCAGCTGGCCCCAAGATTAACACAACACTCCCTTTAGCACCTTACCAGTGCAGACCATGAAATCTGTTTCCTATCACCTTCCACATCAGCTAACCAAACCTCTGTAGTACTACTCATACAAAAACCTAGGCTTGAGTCACTCAATACTTTCATTATAGAGCCAATTTTATTATGAAGCAGAGTGACAACTGGAGCAGCTGCCTTGTCCTTGTACCTGCGGTGCACAAACAGAACCAACTACTGCTTTTATTGCTACAGTCAGGATTTCAGCAGAGGCAAGGTGCTGCACCAGGAGGACTGACAGTGCTTGAGGGAGGCCACAAGGTACTGTGACATCCAGCGCCAACCTCCAAGGGCACAGCCCAAGGCTTACCCTGCCTGAGGCTGAAGCCAAAGAGCATCTAACTAAGGAGGTGGCTCCAAAAGGCTTGGGAAGCAGCTAAATAACAGCAACAAGACCCTTTGGATGCAAGAGTCCACTTCATTCCTTTTCCTCCCACCACACACCACCACTGCCCTCTGGAAATAGGAACAACATTACAGCACTTCATCTGTGGCATCTCCTGAAGCTTGACATACCTTCCAGTCTTGATCATGCCTCCTCTTTTCAAAGGAAGACTTTTCTCTCTCCTTCTCTTTCTTGAAAGCCTTTTTCTCCTCAGCCATCAAGAGTCGAGCAATTTCCTAGAAGGGAAAATACCGAGAGTACGTCAGATGGTTTTACTGCTCTTGTGGGTTTGAGTGTCTTTCCTATCAACAGCTGCTGAATGGGAAGGGTGCAAAGCCAGGATTTCACCCATCCGTGATCAGAAATCAAGTGACAGAGCAGAATTAAGACTGACTACATGCAGCATGCCCAGAGGATCCCTGATTTGCCAGAACTGTGTTTGCAGAGCCTTTCTGCCCTTCATTCCTTTTCCTTCGGGGCGGGGTGGTGGGGTGTCATGTCGCAGCATCTCTGGTAGGCTCTCCCTTGGGGCTCAGTTACAAGAGATGCTCCTGCACAGCCACAAACTTCCTTCCTCTGCCATGGTCGCAACAGGCAGCACAACGCCCTGCTTGGCCAGTGTGAGCATACACATGAAAAACAGCTAGGAGCAAATGTCACCGTAGCCCTGAGCTTCCTCTCCAAGGAGGGAAACAAACTAGAGGGTCAGAGGAGACAAGTGGGGTTTAGAAGTTTCCGCGAGTAAAGGAATGCCGCAAACATTTGACTTCTTGCTCACTTCATCTTGGGCTACTTGAGCTGCCTTCTGATCTGCCTCGTTAGCCTGGGGGCAGAAAAAAAAAAAAAGAAACGGTAGGAAAAAGCAGAGACAAAAGAGTAACACCTCTGAATTATTCATACCCATTAACCTACTGGGCAGGGCAAGTAGGTGCCCATACAAATACACTACCACCCTCTCCGAATATACTTAGCTACCTCAATACTTGCCCCAGAACCCAACACCAAACTGTCATTTCAGCTTTTCAGATGAGTTTTGTCCTTTTCTATCTGCCAGGCCACACCACAACACATGGTCCACCCTGCTGCCCTCTCTCTCAAAGATGGGCACTGGCCTCTCTCACTTCTGGACTGACCACACTGACTACAGGCCATCTTTACCTGTCTGGAAATGTTCATTTAATATCACTCAGTCATTTAATTTTTAGGTGTCAGAAAATAGGGCTCTACTGGCTGGATACCAGCTGTCACTCCATATGTGTGTGTATGGGAGACAAAGGTAATTACCAGAATGAGCAGTAGCGAGACCTTAGGTCTTAAAGTCACTATCATATATAAAAGGTTTACAGATTCAAGTTGTCATCACTGGGTACCTTAGTTCCTTTGAGTTGACTAATGCATCCTCTCTACTTACCAGGAGCTCTTCCTCCTGCAGCTTCCGAGCAATCTCTGCATCAGACAACTCCTGTTCCCTTTGGGGTGTATCATACATGGCTTGCTGCGCCCCCCTCAACTTAGTGCCTACAGAATTGTGAGAGAAAACAATCAACTCGACCATTTTCCAAATGCTTTGGTAAGCAAATCCCCACCATCTCCTCACCCGCCTGCAAAAGCCCCACTCAAGGGAACCAGAGACCATAACAGCATACCTGCCAGACAGCTGGTTTGAGAGTACCTTTAGCTGAGGCACAGCACACACCTTAGGAAGGTTTCTCTATGCATATAGAAATATCTAATACACCATGACTTAAATGACAAATGCAACCACATGGCAGAAGAGACCATGCCCCTTGAAGCTGTCTTTGCTGACACAGCGATGCTAGCAAAGGAATCGTTATTTTTCACACTCTGCATTGATACAGATACACTGGCAAAACTGGGCAGCAGAGAGCAGCCCAACATCTGTTATGAGCACAGCAGAGTCTGTGAACACACCGCTGGAGCAGCACAGGCTGCAAAAGTTGCCTGAGACAGGCTCACATGAGGTTTCAGACAATTTCTTCCTTGGGCTGACCCAAGAATTTTACAAATCACGGTGAGAAAACAGCCAAGTAAACATTTTCGAAGTTCATACAGGGTTCAGCTCTTGCTTTGACTACAGAGTTTTATTTGTTTGTTTATTTTAAAGTTAAACCATCTCCAAGTGATTTAAAATGCTGCATTTTGAGAGCCTCTCCAGACTATTTGCACCAGGCCATCAAAGGAGTCTCATTGTATCCTTATTACAAAATGCATGACTTCACTCACATACAACAAATGCCTTCTCCTTCCATCTGCAGTCTGAACTGTATTGTTCAGACATCTCAGACATGTAAATGCACCTTCTGCTTTATGTCCGAAGTATACAAACACTCCAGATGTCTCTCTTCCACCTCAAACCCAGAAAGTTTCACTCAAAACTTTCATGCCTCCAGCTACACCATTTACACATTTATTATAAACGCCTGTTACATGTTACTGGGCCACCTACCAGTTTCCTTCCCATCTCGTAAGACCAAGGGAAAAAACATGAAGTAAGCAACTGACCTTGAAAAGTTTTCTGTGCATCTACCAACAAACTACCATCGTACTCCACCAAGCATCCTGAAGACTTCAAACTGCAGAGGGCCACACACCTCATGCATCAGCCCAGAATAAAACCATGGAATAGGAAACCACCTCTTCTACAGGTATTAGAAGAGCCATGGAGGGTTTTCTGCTTTTTGTTTTGTTTGAATCAACTGATCAATGACCTTAAGCAATTAACACCCCTCTTACAAGCCATCTTAGCACAAGAAGAAAACTTCAGCTCTGGCACGTTATGGTTAAGCGTATGACCTGGCCTTTCCCAGCACACTTTGATCAATCCAAGCTGTGAAGAGCTGCAATCTCTGGCCACCACCAAAACTCTGGCAAAAAGCACCAGCTTGGTCAGAGTTAAATTATTCAGAATGCTTCCAAGGTCAAGGTAAACACAGTTTTACCATGCTGGAATGAACAACAGCGTGGCTGACAGGGTCCTGTACAGCATTACCTCTACAAAGAATAAAAGTAAGTTTCCAGGAATTGTTTGCTGGCCAGCCCAAAACTGAGCTTTCTTCACACACTGATCAGTGCCAGGCTTCACTTGCTCAGAAGACAACAATAAACGTTACTTCCACATCACTTCTGCCCACACTCAGGGGAGCACAGAGCCCACCATGACCATGGCCCACAGGAAAAGGATGTGAGCTTCTGGCTATTTTGACTCAAGATGATGGGATACTGAGTCACTCGGATCCACATTGTATCAGGCCAAATCATGACCTACTAATTATATATAAAGACCTGATTAAAACCTTCCACTTCCCCAAAGAAAACGTTTGCATGATGAAGACAAAGAATAATTCTCTCAGCATCTCCAGAGTCAGACACACATTATCATCCCCACCTTATCCATGTGAAAACCAGTTAGATGGCTTAAAGCACAAGTTTCCCACGCTGTGACAGACACAGATCCAAGTCTCTAAACTCCTGCTTTCACTAAGAGACAGGTCGCCCCCACCCTCAGTGTGGTTTTAAAAGCAGAAAGATGGATCTGGATCTTTAAAGCCCACTGGTTCCCAAGTATTACTGAACAACAAGAACTACACAGATACGCATTTCCCAGAAAAATCCACTTGTACAGAATTTGACAAGAACCCCATCTTACAAATGCGGCCCAGTCGGACACATAGTGCCACTACTGAACTTTGCCCAAAGTGAATTGATTATGTTGCCAGGAGGGTTTTCAGTAAGAAGTGAATGAAATTGCTGGCTTGTTAGTACTTAAGCAAACTGTCCTCACTTACAGCCCTGCATCCCAAATCAACAGAGTAAGAGTGTAATTGTAACATTTGGGGTGGATTTTTTTTTTTTCCCTCCTGTGCAAGGAGACCACAGCACAATACATATCACAAAAACAAAAGCTGGTTGTTGGCTGGTTGTTTTGGGTTTTTTTTAGCGCTGTTGTTTTTTTCTCAAACACAGGATACCAAGGGCACCATTTCCAACAATACCATCTTACTCATCCTCTCTGATGCCACGGAACATGTCAGGAAATAAACAGAGGAAGAACATCAACGGATAAGAAGAATCTCACTAAATAAGGGAGAAACCTGGGCAGGATTCACTGTGTAAACACTGCAGGTAGATATTGGAGATAACCATCTTCAAAGGAAACAACATGTATTTTAGACACCAGGATGGGGTGTGCAAAGGTCCATCCCCACACGTATGTAACACCTTCCCCATCACTTGGTTACCTGAGTCTCGCTGGCAGTCTCCAACCTTCCCCTGGGTCACACTGTGGGGAGAGGGGGAACGTCTCCTGTGTCCTGCCCTTTTGCAGTCTCTCTCCTCACCCCTCCTACGATCATCTCTAGATTCGGCATCACGGAGCTGCTCGTCACGCACCACCCTGTGCGACGAGTGGCCCTGATGACGAGATTTGTGTTTTTGAGGACGCACCAGCTGGCTGCCGCCCTGACGCCAGGTCTCCTGCTCAGCCTCCAGTTCCATCTGAAGAAGGGGAAGGTGCTTTTCTCTGTCTTGCCTCGTCGGCTTTCTGCTGCGCCATGCCTCGTCTGCGAGCCCATGCTCCGACTCCAGGTCAAGACTGAGAGGTCTCCAAGCCTTCTCCCCGCCAGCCGCTCTCCTCTCCCGCAGCTCCCAGCTATTGCTGTAGTCGCAGGCACCGCGCTCGGCCTCTCTTTCCAGGTCTAGGCTGGGATGTCTCCCGGACCTTCCCTGGCTGGCTGATTTCCACTCCTGCCGATGGCCGTTGCCAGCCTCGCTCGGCCGAGGAGAGCTCCGACGATCCTCCGAGGTGGAACGCCCGCGTTCGGGGGCACCGCGGGACAAAGGCAAGGGGGCTTCTCGGTGGTCTCTCCGCTGGCGCGTGTGCCTGTCACCGCCGTGTGCCCTGCGAGGCTCAGAACCCTGCTCTCGGGGGTCACCCCAGGGGTGCTCTGAGCAACAGGGGGACAAACAACGAGCAGGTTAGTGGGGGGGGGGGGTTAATGGGGGTTCAGCAAGGCCAGACTCGCAGCACGCGGGTGAGGGAGCTTGATGCAAGGAGAAGCTGGAAATGCAGGCAAAGCACGACAGGGGCAGAAAGAAGAATAACAGGGATATAACGCTTGCAGGATATAATGGGGGGGACAGAGTGAAAGGGCAGCCTGGCTAGCAGCAGGGCACCACGGGAGGCAATGGGGTTGGAGCGAAAAGCACAGGTCCAGCCCAAAAGCGTGTCCAAGCACCTCCTAAGACAAGCAACTGTGGAGGTGAAGGACTTTTAATGATGCCATTGGGGCTGAAAAAACAGCCAGCAGAGCAGCTCATCTCCCGGTGACACGTCACTGCAGCAGGATACTGAACCCACCAGAGAGAGGCTTGCAATGGAAGGCACAAGGTGCAGGCGAGGCTGGGAGGCAAGGTGGGGCCGGGGGGAGCGTAAAGCCAGGAGGGGCCAAGCAGAGGGTCAGGTTGGATCCTGGTTTAGGAGCACCAGTGCCTTGCCCTGGTTTCAGGCACAAAGTCTTTCATCAGAAAAAACAGGGGGAAAAGCCCACATAAAGCAGAAGAGAAAGAGACAAGTGGGATGGGTTTTTTTGTTTGGTTGGTTGGTTTTTTTTTTTAAAGCAAGAACAAGATGATTGATAGCTGCAGCATCCAAATATCTTCCACCACAGACTGTCACATAATCTCTTGCAGCAGACCCAGAAGTTTCAGGGCCCACACTTATTCATTGCCTAAATAAAAGTTTAGGTTCTGAGTGCAGAGAGGGCTACAGAAATTTAAGGGCAGGATAAAACTTCACAAAACCCAGGCTCCTGACCTCAGCAATGTAGCTGGAAAAGCCGCTTACTCAGCAGCTTGGCAAGGTTGTTTCCTCCGTGATTTCCAGAAAGCAGGTGGAAATTTTCTTTGCTTTTAGTTTCAGTAATAAACCTGACACAGCTATGAGGCTGCAACAGTCTGCCTGTATACAATCTGCTGATCAATTTATTTTCCAATCAACCTATTTGCTAAGAAAAATCATTGCACTGAGTGAACTATTATCTCTCTACAGCAGCTTTTCAGAATGAAGGTGTACTTCTGAAGAAAAAAAAAAAGATTGCCTTGAAGCAGAGGTTGATTTGAAAGAGAACTACACACTACACGCCCCCCCCAGAAAACAACCCAAAACCCAGCAGAATATGACTTTCCTTCTCCACTGCTGAGAGGTTTTTTTTATAGCATCTAAAAATATTTAAAATAGATTTCACTGCACATGAACTGCATTCAGTTTTAATAAATAGTTCTGCTTTCCTTACAATCACCTAGATTTCAGGGAGAAAAAATAAAAAAAACAGCAAACCACACACCAAAACTGAATGTTCCCTTTAAGTCATTCTATTCAGAAAAAACTTTTTCAGAGCCAGCAAAAATACAGCCTACAGAAAATCCACCTTGAAAACAAATCTGTGTGACTTTTATCCAGAAGAGGTATATTTTTAAAAATCCAAGAACTCAGAGTAACCACAGCAGTTCCTGTTAACTGGTTGGTTTTTCTGCTTAGTTTTAGATCATTCACATGATTTACAGAAAACAAATATCCAATAAAGCAATCTAAGTGACTTACTGAACAACACAGACCAGAGCCTGAAAGCAAGAATCAGTTTTTGAACAATACTAACAAGGGTCTAAGAATTAATTCAATTTTGTCATTAAGGAAAGCTCGATAAATACACCAGCAGAGAGCAGGAGATCATGGAAGAGCAAAGCGTGGCCACGCTGGGAAAGGATTGCTGCAGGTAACGCAACGATGCCAGACAGCCCAAGGAGATTTGCTTTTGGGGTATCTCAGGGTGATTAACTCCTCAGCAGGTGCTGGTTCCTGCAGCGCCTTCCACAGGGGCCGTATAAACACTCTTTAGGTCCTGGTGTTACTCGCTCAAGCAGCGAGTGACTGAGCGAATACAGAAATGTTTTTCATGGCACAGACACTTCTGGGAGAAACTCTTGCCTTTTTTTTCATGTTTATTTTTCCACTTTTTAAGAGCTCAGATTGCTTTGGAGCAATAGCCCTAATCCACATTCCTCCTGGATGTGTATAAATTTTTATTCAGTCTCAAGACAAACTAAAACCCAAACAAGGGCGCTTTTTTTGTTGTTGTCGTTGAAGTTCACAAGTAATGAGGACAAAACAAAGCGAGGATGCTGAAGCCTCATGAAATGGTGCCCAGGTATTTAAGAGCTTCCAGATCAACGGACTACATGATCCAGGCATCAAAATCTGCTCCAGTCCTTTCTAGTTTTTAAGGAGCGTGAATCAAGAGCAGCACTACTATGAACAGTCAGGCAAAACACCTTCTACCTTACCTCCGAGACTACACATAATTGCAGGAAGAAAAATTAGACCCACAAGATATCCTGCTCTCCAAATCCACACCACAGTCTCAGTTCAGAGAGTCACACGCTTTTGTCAGCTGATTTCTGTCATAAAAATCCATCCTGTCGTACAATCTGTGCATGGCAACGCTATTACCTATTTGTATTTTTTCAGGGACTTGTCCCATTTAATTCTGAAAAACTGAAGTGTGGGTTGGCCATAATAGTCCAAGATCAAAGTCGTTCCCAGCTCTGTACACATAGCAAGACTTGCGGTCATGAAGTTTCCACTTGGTTACTGTTTTGTGCTTTGTGTTTTCTTGGCCATTCTTGAACTTCCTTCCCAATTGAAACTAAAATACTTTGTATAAGTTCAAATAAAAGACATTTAAGACCACCAATGTCATTGATGTTAAAATGAGAAATAAGAGGTTTGATCTTCATCTTCACAATCTGTTAAACAAAAGGAGCCTGTGTCTTCCCCACAACATTTTTTTTTGGAAGAAAGAACACAAGAACCACCACCAGTGCACAGCAAAGCCATCCCCATATTGCTCCATAATGAAACACACCCTGATTCTCTCCTCCCAATTTAAAGAAGGTCTGTATTCAATCACAAAAGCCGACCAAGCAAAAGCAATACAGCGCTGTGGGTCGTATCTTTTCCACAACATACAGTCCCAGATGATAATCACAGCAGAGACATTCTGCAGACATGACCTTGTTATTCAGTAAGTCATTCAAAGCGGTTGTGCTAATTTTAATGCTTCGATACATACCTGCAAGGAGTTATTTTTGAAAGGCTGTTCCACGCATCATTTATTCCTTTATGCACGTAGCCATACGAGCATTGCAGATGAACACACAGAACTGTTACTCTTCAAATGCAAGCGTGGAATTGTGTCTGCATTTCTCCCCTGCACACTTGCGGTGTTACGCAGAAGTAACTGTCTTATCAGTACCATCAGCTACTGTCTTTTTCCACAAGCCCTTTTAAAACACGCATGCATGGGTGTGCTTGCACATTCACACACCACACACCCTATCCCTGTCCTTTAGGCCATATTCTAAGACATGAAAAGTTACAAAATTGTCTTCTCCACTTTTTTTTTTTTTTAATATTTCCTGATTCTAGAATGAAGTCTGATCCTGACCCTGGAAACTGATGCAATGCTACAGTGCCAAATGCAGGAATGTAGGATAAGGGAAATCTCCTAAATGCAGTTGCCAGATCACCTGGTTCACTTATACTGCCATGATCTTGATCCTTTATCTGGCAGAAACATACCTCCATTTTCCGCATAATAGCTATCTTCATAGACTGCATGTCCCTGGGATTCTGAGTAGTGCTTCTTGCGCTTTTTTTCTTCCTGCAGTTCTTTCTGTTGTAGGAGACGGGCAATGTCCTGAAGAGATGGAATAAAACAGACATTACCTTTCCCCCTTAAAAAAATATCTCCAGATTCTTTTATTCAAATTCTTTATTCCATTATAAAAATCTGATAGTTTAACTTTTCAGACATGGCAACAACAGGGTTACTCTCAAATTCAACCCCTGGGCTGGACAGGGCTTCCAAATTAGTGGTTGATAGAAGGCACCACCTCAGCAACCAGCATCCAACCTCACCCAGGCCCACAGCTAAGCTTCCAGCCCCATAGCAGACTCGCAGGTTCCTGTTCCACCTGCACACAAGCCTGCAAAGCCCTTACGGCCAAAGCGTGGCAGAAGGGGCTGCGTGTGCAACCTCAGGCTTTCAGCAAGGATTTGGAAGTCACACAAGCGCGCACTCACTCACACAAGTAGGCTGGACCTCACCCTGGACTCCACCAGGGAAAGAAAAACAGGCAAAAAGACTTGTCTCCAGCTGAAGGCACTTCTGACTGGAAGGAGTTCCCAGAGCAAGTCATGAACTCACTTCATACTAGGTGTAATTTACAGGGACTGCAAGATGCCAGGCAGGGAAATGCATCAATTTGACAGACAGAGGCTGAAGGAAAAGAAAATCGAAAGGGACATTAGGAAAAGAGTACTAGGCACAAGGCAGGAGCGCTGCGGGGACTGCAGCTGTTTATCTTCTGTCGCAGTTTTGGTAGATATGCCATCAAAGAGAATAGCGCTCCATTTTCCTAATTGGTTTTCCTTCGAGATGACTAATGGATCAACAAGGCCTAGCAACAGCAAACAGCTCCCTGGGGCTTGCTCATTTGGGGCCCAGAAGCTTGCGAGTCAGAGGAGCTAGTCTGAAGCTAGGAAGAGAAGCTGGAAGATACCAGCAGGGCATGCTAGCCCTTTGGATGCTATTCATTTAAGCCTCCCTAATCCTCAGGACCTTTACAGAGCCATGCGTGTAAAGTGTACGTTGCAGGCAGGAAAGGCATCACTGAAATGCAAACAAAGAGCCAACACCCTCCAGAGCAAAGCCAGCACTGGAGGACCTTGGATGGGTGTTCAAGTACAAACTATTATTTCAGGATTCAGATCGGATCTGCTCAGTAACCAGCTCTGTGGAGGACCTGGGGATGCCACAGGCTCTTCACCAAAAAAAAATTTTAAAAAAAAATTAATTCCTTCCCCTGACAAGGTTAACCTCTTCTAGCAAGCACAGTAAGTCTATAAATATATGGGCTTAAGCACATTATCTCCAGGACTGAGACAGCTCAGGACTTGCAAATCCACACAAACCATTTCTTACAAACTGGACTTGTAAGCAGGTAGGCTTAGCGCTTCATTTAAAAACCCTGCACTCCACACTGGATCTGCCTCACGCAGAGCACTGGCATAAAACATCTAGCCACTGCTGATACCAGAGAACTATCACATACGCTGGGCAGCTACCACACCCTCATGTGTGACAAATACAAGACTGGCTCGGCACGTGGCCAGTACCAGCGTAATACAGCATATCCTGCGGGGTATGTGCATAGATGCTGTGCCGAGGGTTACAGCAGGGGCTCTGATGTTTGTCCCTCTGCCAGCTGACAACCCTCTGGGGCACTGGCAGCCTCACTCACATTGCTCAGGCTCTGCCTCAGCACAGGAGCCCACCCAAAAGAAATAATGCTGGGGGCACCCTGGAGGGGAAGCAGGATCAATTCAAGCTCTCCAGAAGTCCTGTTGCAAGGATGGGCAGTAGTGCCAGACCCTGGTACCCAGCTGCAGCCTAACTCCAGCTATTCAGCCACCCTTGGAAACTTCCCATGTACCAGCAGGAAGAGAAAGAATGTTTATGACATTCTCCTCATGGCTTTGAGTCACATTCATTTGAACATTGCTCCCAACAGCACAAGATGGTCAGCACGCTGGTTTGACAGATTGCAGGGACCTGTTGTCAAACTGCTGACATCCCAGCAACTCTCTACATAGAACAGGAAGGAACGGTGCAATTCCCACAGACAACATGAGTACTATTGCATCCCCTTCGCCTTCCCGATAAAAATGAGACAGATGGTCACATTTATAGCACAAATCCTTTAGCCAGAGTGTTCCTCCTACCCTCCCACCTCGTTGCCACAAGCTCCTCTTGGAAGCCCTTCCACGCCTGCCTGGGCAGCCTTTCAGTACTTGCTCGGACTTAATGGTGTAAGAAGGAAATGAGGTCTTGCACAAGCAAACTGATGCCTTCAGGTTAGGACAGATTCTTATTTCAGTCTGTTCCAGGAAACACAGCCTTGTGTTCAAGCTCTTCCTACAGAGAAAATGCCAACAGGTGCATCTTGAGCATCTTAACCTTACTCAGACTTCTCAGGAAACTATCTGTAATCAAAAAATGGGGCCACGCTCCAGGCTCACCCAGGTGTTCCTCCACTCTGTCGCTTTCTCGAATATCCAGTCCCACAGGCTGACACAATAAAGTGATCAACAAGTCAAACCCTTTGAATACCATGGGCAAACCACACTGCCCACTCTGAAGCAACAGCAGCAGAGCAATATTCTGAAATCGCAGAAGGAATCTGCTAGCAAGAACAGAGTGTTCAGGCTGTGAAAGACTAAATTGAAAATGAAGGAAGGTAATGGAGAAGCCAGACATGGACGGCTGGGCTGAGGGTCCTGCTGAAGTCTTTGCACCTAAGGCCAAGAAATCATGAGCCAGGACTCTCCCAAAAGTTGTACCTGTCTTCTTGCATTTGAGAAACCAAGCAGATCTCAAACTGCGTAAGCAATTAAACTTTCCTACACCAGGGCAATGAACACCTCAACAAGACCCATCTATTACTTGCCCTCTTCGTTAGCAAAGCCATTGGCATCAACAACCCTTGTGACCCTTGAGCATGAGGACTATGACTGTATCTTATTCCTGTAACAGGACTCCCTGAAATCTCTCTGCATATCGAGATCTGCGAGGACCAGGACTGACACCATGCAAGCCAACTCCTGTGGCTAATGACAGAGAAATTCCTGCACTGAAAGGGCTGCTGCAAATAGCCCTGCCGTGCCTGTAACTTTAAAGGTTACCTCGTCTTTTTCCTCTTGCCTGCGGCGCTGCTCCGCTTCAAATACCAGCTTCACTTGGATTTCCTGAGCGATTTCACAGTCCTGTCGTTCTCTAGAAGGCAAGGAGACAAGGATTATAGGCAGCTAAAGTCACAGGCATCAATCAGCCTGGAGAAAGGGATAAAAGAGCTAAAAGAACCATCTGATTTACACAGAAGAATTATTACTCAGTATTAGTGCAGAGCCTATGAAATCTCACCAGGGACCAGGACTCCCTGTACTTACTGCTGGCCAAATTTAGAAAATAGGTCCCAAAACATTCACAATCAGAGCATAAAGCAAGAGAAAACAGATTTATAGGCAGTTTGCTAAGAAAGGAGGTAGGTACCATAGGATAGGGCAGGCCAAGGCAGCCCATACGAGTCTCTGCAAACACTCTAATCCTGCTGAGGAGTTTTTGTACGCATGGTGCCAAAGGAGGGGTTTAGGGGTCACGTTAATGCAGACATTTCTGGGAAGTGGTTTTCACCTGAAAGCCAAGAAGGAGAAAGTGCAGAAAAGCTGATAGCAAAATGCAGTACGTAGGCCAAGCAGACGCTGGAGGTGGCAGTTCAGTAATGAATGAGAAATGCCACTGAGGTGGGACGAGACACAAAAGCAGAACCGGTGCCAAGAGGCAAGAGAGCAATGTGCGTCAAAACAAGGGGCGAGGGAGCAATCATCTATTGCGGATGCAGGAGCAACACAATATTGCAGTAACTGGAGACAGAAAAAGAGATACTGGAGTAATTCAGACATGGAACAGAGTTTCGTCTGTGCGGATAGACGGGGAAGGCCATATTGCAGGGATGTCATACAGAAAGCATCGGCAAGAATTGTGCCATACTCAGCTGCAGGCTCTGATGCCCAGCAAACAGGCTGGAATGATGGCCAGGGGTATCTTAGGGCAAGCCAGAAAAGGGCTGGGGGATTTGAGAAGAAAGATTAAGAGCTCTCTCTTTCAGCACTGTTGAAATTGAGCCAAAGAGTAGGTCTAAAGAGGTCAGAAAAAAATCAATCGAAGCTATCTCTGCAACTGAGACTACTGAAAGGCAAGGCATAGGAGGAGATAAGAATGGGAACAGCAACAGGCAGATCTTGCTTTATTAGAAAACAAACTTTTGAAGAATATGCTGGCAACGATCAGACGGGTGATGGGAGGACTACCAAGAACACGTTATGGAAGTCAAGCAAGTATTTCAAGAGAAGCAGCTATTGTCAACGTTGGGCCATGTGGGCTGCAACAACTAGCTTTAGACTTGAGCAACGATCAGGGCACAAGCGACCTAGCAAACTTGGAGGCAAAGGACAGGAAGGAAGTCTAGGATGTGAGCGGAAGAAATTAAAATAGTAAGTGTAGACTTTCAGTAGCAAAGCAGACAGAAGTGGCATGGCTGGAGCAGTCAGTAATACCACAGAGCCTGCTTTTATAGAAAGTGAAGAATGAGAGAAGCAGAAAGAGTGGATATGTGGCTTAGGGTGGGAGGAAGGACACTGCAACAAGAAGAGGGTTTAGAGGACAAGCACCACCAGAAACAACTAATCTGTCTTTTCTGGAAGGAGAAGGAACATGCAGCAAGAGGAAAAAGAAGCTTCTTTATTTCTGGCAACTGCTCCTTGGAAGCAGACCTGCAATTGAGTACTGCATGTTATTTATATCCCCTTTCCCATGCACATATGAACCCCAAGTCAATTCCCAGACCACCACACTCGCAAACACTTGTGCATATCCATAAACTGACCCACATCTAAAGACACCCTGGAAGACACTCACTAATTTCAGTGTTTGCAGGGCTGGAGTTATCAATAGGTCAAACCTCTTCAGACATCAGTTTCTTTCATCCAGGTAATAAAACCTGGCATTCTGTGTGTGTGTGCCTGTGTGCGTTTCACTTGACTCCAGGGAGAGACCTGTTCAAAGGCACACAAGCTCACACAGCAGCAAATCTAGTTCTTGAACCTGCCATGTAAAAAGGGACCTTGGCAAACCTGGCACCCAGCAGGGAATCACAGTCCCCAGCAAAACAATAGCTGAATATGCAAATCATGGGGAGCAGGCTGTCAGTGGGCCTAAGATAGTGGATCCCTTATGACCCCAGACTCAGAGGACACGAATCCAGGTAGAAAGTAAGTTAGAAAGGTCAGACATATCAAGGCATTGCACGTCTCCAGTTCCCCTGGCACCTGTGAACAGAGCTAAGGTGCCAAGTTCATCAGCACCAACTGACTTGCTAAATGCTTAAAATACATCTTATTGCAGACAAACAAGAGACAGAAACAGCTAATCGTCTTTCAAAGCCAAGGCAACAAGGTCATTGCCTCTCCATTTGCAGCAAAGAACACTAGAAAGAATGCAAAAGCAGAAGCATTTTCTTGTTCCTGATGACACGCATCTTGGAATACACCGTATCAATCTCTAAGAAGCACTGAACAGCAACAGAGGATTAGATTCGGGGTTTTATTGCTCAGTGGTAATTAAATACTGAGACTTGATTAGTTAATCAACATAAGGTAGTGTTTCAACTTGACTGAGCATAAGAAAATAGGCTGAAGAACTTTGACAGCTCTTTTGGTCCTTCAGTTTCATTAGTGTGAGTTCAAGTGCCCATCAGTCCCCAGAAATCAGCCAGAGCAACATAAATGTCACCATCCCTGAACATCACACCTATGTGTCCTCCATTCCTGGGCAGCCAGGAGTGTTAAGAGAGTCAGGGAATCTCTACATCAGTTTAGCAAAAAGGGGGGGGGGACGGGAGGGGGACAAAAAGTCGGTGTGATCAGAAAGCTCCCATTCATGTTGGCTGTAGAAACTAATTGTTGCCAGATGAGGAGGAGGGGAAAAAAAAAAAAAGAAAAAGGTTTAAGGGAACCATTCAAAGGAACTGTTCACATTAGTGTAACAGAACCATCACAGCACTGGGAGCAAAATGAGGAAACAGCGTATTTTCACGGTATTTCCAACAGTTACTTTAGCAACCTTGCTAGTATGCTTGGCAGTGTGCAGGCTGCTCAGCTAGATGTGAGAGATGCTTTTAAAGAAGCATGAAAATAAGGTTTGATGCTCCCTCGAATTCTTAAAAGGAGAAGAAAAGTTATTTCTATTCTCTCATTTATCTTCACAAAGTCTGTCTGAGAGAATCTAGGATTTGAAAGACAGAAGAAAGCCCATAAATGTGAAGAGCTTTTTTATGTTCCCTGTTTCTAAAGTCCACCCAGTTCTGCCCCTTTACTCCTCCCATCACCTTGCAGTGTCAAACTGTCCTAGATGATACAGAAAGCAATGGCAGCGAGGATCATTTTGTTGCCAGAACACACTGATCTTGCACAAGGAGACAGTGGGAACGTACAAAGAATTAAGGAAGAAAAATATCCAATTACAAAAGGATGCCTCCAACTTTTTTACCATTCTTGCAGAAGAGCTCATGCTCTCAGGAGCAGAACTGCTGCTGACACAACACTTTGCATCGGTTCTGCCTGTAACTTGGCTCACAAAGTTCATAAATCCCATTTTACAGAGTCCTACAACAAGAAAATTGTTTGCAGTTCCCAGCAAGTAACAAGAAGGAATCCTCTCTGCCATACAAAATTAATTTTTATGTTGTCATTTACATGCTCACATCTCTAATTGGTAATGAAGACAAAACTATTGAAAGAAAGCCCAGACTTGAGCAGTAACACATGTATCCACCCAGTGCTGCCTGAGTATGCTGGGAACATTGAAAACAGTGGCTGATTTGTCACGCCCCAGCTTCAAATCTTTTACGAACAGCTCCTTTGAAGCTAGTCCTGCATCTCACACATCTGCAATACAGAGCTCTCCTACTCCATGGCTGTCTCTGCCAGATGAGCCACCCAGGGCCTGTGATCCCACCACCAACTGCACCTGGGGGGTGGCATCACAGAGCGCGACACAGGCCAGGAGGCAGCACAGCCGCCCAGATGTATTCCTGCCTTGCAGACCCCGCATTTGGGGGGAGCCCCGTCCTGCTGCCTCTCCTCATCGGGATCGGAGTGAGCCCAGTCACACGACCCATTTGTTACATCTCACATATTGCAAGAGGCTAAAGGGGGGGGGGACGGGACAAAAATAAACAAACAAAAAACAACACACCACCAAAAAATGAAAGCATCAGTGTCAACTCTGCATTGGAAAGTACCTCTTGCTTTATATATATGTTTTTGAAATATAACATGGCCCAGCACTGCCATGTTATATTCCTACACCAGCTCCACAGCCTAAGAGCCATGGCACACAGAAACCCAAATCACAGGCCACAGCGTTAGATCTGGAGTGTATCACTCAAACAGCCTCCCACAGCTGCTGCAGAAGTCAGTGACTGCAAGAAAAGGCCTGTCCCCCAACAACCATCTCCACCAATTGACCGTGGGGCAGCAGCTCCTCTTCCCAGGTCGCTTCACGCTGGAGTACCTGCAAGCGCAAGCGGGGGCTTTGAACCGTTCAGTGCAACAGTACACGAAAAAGCATTGTGCCCAGCTCCTCAAAAGCACTCATCCAGCACAATACAAACATGTGAATATCTGCAATTTCCACAGGAGAGAGAATTCACTGTAACACTGTGTATTTCTGTGGTGTGGTTTCTTCCTTCTCAGGCTTTAGCCAGGGACAAGGTCAATGCAAGTGGCCAAGTTACCCCACTTTGTCAACAGGCAGCAGAACAGGAAGGCTCCTTCCCACGGTCAGGCAACAGAATCTAAGCCAGGATGGGCCCCAGGACCACCTACTCCAACCCTGTCCTCATTACTCTGCGTCAGAGCCTAATATCAATACTTTTACTGCAATGGATAGCCAAAGGAAAAGGGAAACAAAAGCAAAAGGCTTATCAACCTGAATCCCATGTACTGTCAATCAACTCAAATCAAAGCAGCTGATTTCAGTGCTCTGACCCACATGGGACTAGTATTTCAAGAGCTCCATCCCAAACTCACAAGTCTTTTCGGTGTTTCTGGATTTGAGCACGTGCTTTCAGATCCTCCTCTTCTTGCAGTTGCTTGGCCACCTGCAAATCATGTTGCACCAGACGATTACGCTGAACATTTGTTGCCAAGTGATGCTCAACTGGAAATAAACACAGACAAGAACCCCCAAATCAGCCTGCAGAACTTCAGGGTGTGAACAAGAAAAAACAAGTGGGAGGGAGATTCCAGGCCAGAAATGAAGACAGTTCTTGGTAGGGAAACATCTTTAAAGGTGGGGAAGTCCTGAACTGAAATTACACTAGCAGCTTGAGATTGTCTCGTTTCAGCACTGAAGAGGACTGTATATGTTTGTCTGTTACCAAAACAAGATCTGCATATCTTGATCACATCCAGGTTCATGGGGAATGCTTTTCAGGCTTTGAATTTCATTTTCTGGCCATGGGAAGTTACCCTAGATGAATAAAGTGGGTCTGGAAGGGACCACCAGAGACCAGTGAGGATGAGCTGAACCTAAGCCACTTTGATGGATGCTTCCCTAATTTGTTCTCAAGAACCTCTAGAGAAGGAAACTCATCTCGCTCTCAACATATCAGTTCCAGAATCTCACTACCTTTATATTTAGCAACAGAGCAACTGTGTACTACAGTAAGTCCGTTACCATACATGGATACTGCCTGCAAGAAAAGATGGCTACGTGAGCTGCAGCTGAGCCATCTTTAATTCAGTGGTCTCAGGTTCCAGCTGCAAGGGCACAACTTCAGCACAAGTTGCATGCTTGGCAGAGTAGCTGGAATGGTATTAGCACCTAGTACTGGTAGATACCAATGGTCCTGGCACCCAGCAAAGCAGATTAGAGAAGCCAACACACCTGAAACTGCAATGCAAAAATACACAAAGTAACAGACAAACATGTTAAAAAAAATTAAAAGAAAAAAATAATCACCAGTTACTTTGAAGTTTCTGGCTCTACTTTTTTTTCCTCTTTTTTTAAACCCTTGTGGTGTACAGCTGTCCTCCCTCAAAATGTCTTAAAATGAAGCCGCCTTTCAAAAGGCAGGCACTAGCGATTCTGAAATAAGTAAACAGACAGACCTCTTCTGGTTGCACCTCAGGTCAGCCTATAAAACTTGAAACTTCAAAAATTGCTAGTCATTTCTAAAAAACTTGCACAGCAACAAAACCTCAAATGCGCTCCTACATGCAATTTTATTATAAATGGCATAAACTCAACTCTAAAGGAGAGCACAAAATTGAAACACGAAATGCAACTATCTCTAGGGTACAATGTGAGCTGGGGCAGAATGCGGAGTAGTGTTACAGGACAGTGAAGACAGTAATAATAATCTGTATTCCATTAAAAAGAATAGAAATAAAATAAAAGCAGGGAGGATTTTTCTTAGCAAAACCAAAGCCAGGTATCTGTTGGGACAAATTTGCTTCAGTTTGTTCCAAAGATCATTGCTACTTACTCTCTTGCTCCTGCAAGTTATGGGCCAAGGTATGATCTTCCAGAACAGCGAAGTCTCGACACACTGGACAGGGAAACAAAGCCAAGAGAATCAGCATCAGGAGCAAAAAAAACCCCAAAACCAAAACCAACATCAAAAGAGCTATGGGGGTCAGGGGAGCATACACACACAAGACTTCTGACACACTTTCTACCAGCCAAGGTCTGGACTTGTGGTCTTTTTCCCCCCTCCTACACTTGTGGCTATTTTTGCACACACTTGCTTCTTTGTCCCTGTTTGCATAAAAAGCCTTCTCCACTCTCCCTTCCATTTCCGCTTCTTTAGTTTACAACCAGAACTGCCCACGCCACCAGTGGATCAGACCTTGTGTACAAAACCCTGTATTCTACCCACATTTATACCAATGCCCACGCTGACTGTGTTCAGCTAAAACCAAGGGCGAGTGTTTGTGCTTACTATGACTCTTTGCCAGGTTAAAGGGTCCGAGAATAGTATTTTCTCCGCACAAAGGCACATGCACACTGTCACCTCTGCGGAGCTCAGCAGACTGAGCTCCGTGGCTCTCACTGCAAGGCATTTCTACCAGCTCAGGCATCATTTTACAATTGTCTCTTGTAAGCTTCATTGACTTTTTCAAGTGCAGATGCTGGATTTGCACCTAGAACCCAGATACGGGATCAACCACAGCGTTACTGGCAGCGATAAGCACAGCCTCTTAAGAGGAGGCTTAAAATGACCCAGAGACAATCTAAATGGGAAGGGCGCAAGCTCCCTTTGGCACCAGTCTGAAAGCCGCATTTTTGCCAATGCCTATCACTTTCACACTTGAACTTTCAAAGGAATGCTCTACCCACACTGTAGAAAAACACCAGTGTTTATTTTTAACTTGCTATGATAGGCAGCGGGGCAGCAAAACACAAGCCACATACATATTGGGACAGGGACACACACACAGCATCTGCTTCAGCCTTTTGGTGGTAGGTACGCATCAGCTTCTTGGTGAACCAAGGACAAACTGTGACCTGTGCCCCCAAACTGCAGGATGGGGTCCTACTCTGCACATCTGCCATAACGTTGGGTTCCTGTCTGCTTCAAGGGGAGTTTAAGGCAGGGGCGCTGAAAAATTTACACTGGAGAGGTCTGTCGCTTGTTTTTCCCCCTCAATGTGACAAGCTAAGCAGCTTAACAGGACCTGAAAGGCAGATATCTCCCATTTGAAACACACGGCACAAAGCAGAGAACTACAAAGTGCTTCCGAAGCTGCAGAAGGAGGTACAAACTGCTGCCGCTGTGCTCCACAGGCAAAACCTCTGGAAAAGACCAAGGTTTCTCTTTAGCAGAGCACAGCGACAGCCTAGAAGAGAAAGTGAAAGTAACCCCCAGAACACACCAAAACTACAAGGGGAATTTATGAGGAACCTGTTTATGAAAGGGTTCAGAGTCAGATAAGATAAAACATTTCCATCACTGCAAAGGGTAGAAAATACAAGGAAACAAGCAGGTAGCCACATCTTCCTGAGCCACAGTCTCACAAGCCTTCCCTCTTCTTGCATTGACTCACATGCTCTGCTAGAGAAGCATTCAGATGTTTGTCTGCACCCAAGTATCTTCACAAAATATCTAGAAGAGTTTCAAGTTGTGTGTACTATGAGGTCAGATAAATACTTTATCCTTTATCATATTCAACAGAATTTTTGGTTGAGCCTTTCTGCATTGGAGGGTATTTTACAGATGACAAAAAGCTCCTAACAGCTAGACCAGCGCTTCAGGGAAGGAGAGTGACAAGCAGCAGGGTGGAGATGAGGACGAAGATTATGGTTATATGATCCCATAGTGACTCACTTTAAGCATGTACAGTTCTGGATGGTACAATTAAGGTTTTGTTGTTGCTTTTTTTTATTGCAACCTCTTTTAAAAAAGGAAAGAGGATAGAAAACACTAAATAGCACTGAAACACTTCCAGTGGGCATTTGTGTATAAATAAAGAAACACTGCCTTCAGCCACAGATCTGGAAAAGCCACAGCTGAGTTGCAGGCAGCAGTGCTGTTCACAGGTGACATACCCAGGGTGCTCGGTGGTCATGAACACATTTTTTTATGGGATAGGGCAAGGGGATCTTGCCTAGAGAGACTTTTTTTCTGTGGTCCCTAATACTACTTCAACTTCATAGCACGATTATGGAACAACCTCCTTCTGCTTACAACAAGCATCGTCTGGCCTGCTGGAAGGGCACATCTAGCTTGGAGGTTTGAGCCCTACTATCAGTTCAGAGCTAAGCAAAGACACCTCAATACAGAAACACAAACAGTCTGCCCAAATCTAGGGCTGTGCCTTTACCACCACGTATTCAAGAAGCAGCACTTGCTCCTGACAGTTTAAAAAAAAAAAAAAATGGGGGAGGGAAGTGTTATTTTTAACTGCAATAGGTCTCTGAGCAAGTCCACGGCACAGCTGCCTGAACAGCTGTACTAGGAAGACAAGGCGGGCACAGCACAGGAGCAAGGATGAACATTTCAGAGCTGCTTATTTTTTGCATAAAGATTGCTGCTGTAAGAAATGCTTATGAAACTGCATCCCAGCCTTCCCACCTCCTTTCTGCACAGACTCATACACTGCTCTGATTGCTGTGGTCTTCTAGCTCTGCCTTGTTGGTCACGGTGCTCATGGTGCTGGCAAGACCTTTGCTCCATCCTCCCCAGAGAGGCAAACGAGCAGAAGAGGACTTTAGGGTTTTTTTACTCCATTCTACCCACACCCAGACACACTTCTCTGAGAAAAAAAACATGTTGACAGAAACATGCTCAGCGTACAGGCAATAAAGTGGGAGGGCCGTGGTAGAACACTGCTGCTCTTCTCTTGACGAGTCTTGCACCAACCCCAAAAAAGTCTAATTTTCTCCAGTGAGCTTCATTCCTACAATATAGCAATATTGTTTAACCCTTTTGGATTGATGGGCCAATAAAAACTTTCTAAAGAAACCATGGACTCAAAATAAAAAGGCCAAGTGCCTATACTGTTGTGTTGTATACGTGGGCCTGCTGCTTCTAGCTGCTCCTCCAGAGATCTGGTGGAAGTAGTCCATGGGTCTCCAAAGTTAAACAAACAAGAAAAAAACAAAGAAAACAAACTCCTCAGGTCCTCACTTCCTACGGGCCACAGCTGAAAGCTGCTGGATGCCAGAGACATAAAGCAGGGACCAAGGCTCCCGTCTGGGTTGTTTTGGCTCTTCAGTACAGGTCTGTGCCACTTGGAGCTCAGTGCCGGGGCCAGGAAGCACCCACAGCCCAGGGTACCACCACACACGCTTCCCAGCTCATGACCTGAAGCAGCCTAGCTCAGATCCAGCGCCACCACTAACGAGGCCACACAGCACCCAGACCTGAGGCTGTGCCCAGCCACCGCCTGCCCTGTCTCTGTGCACAGGGACACAGCAAGTGGGGACAATGCCCTGGGACGAGCCACCAAGTTGCAGGTGGCCTAGACATGGGGCTGAGTCTTAAAACAGTGATGATTAATAACCATCCAGCTTCCCTCTCTCTGTCCTGGATCTGGATGGGATAATGATAAGCATGCTGGAAGCTCCCAAGTGTCTGGGCTCCACGGTGCCCCCACCTCACAGCGGACACAGCAAGGTGCAGGCTGGTGGGGCAGCAGCAAGCCTTAGGGTTGCTCACACATTGGGATTCATTCATGCACTGCTGAAGAAGCCACTTGGCCACATATACAAACTCGTTAAGCTGCTCTTACAAACCCACGAACTGACGGCTCGAGCACACAGCCCTTGCTTTGTGCTGCTGAAGCCGCTGGCAGGGCAGGCGGCACAAGACCTTTCGTCACTGTCAGAAACTTGGCTGGGCTGGCCGCCTCCAACTCATCTGAGCACATTATTCCCAAGTCCCATCAGCCTGAGGATAACATGCAAAGGAAGATGAGAACATCCCATTACGAACACAACGAAGCACTGTCAGCCAGCCAGGTGGCAAGAGATGGGGACACCTGCAACTCCCTAGCAAGTCTGGGGGCAACAGCAAGTGCAGAGCACTCCCTCAAGACTAGACCCAGCACCCATGGCACTGAGTCAAGCATGACCGCAGCTACAAGTGACACCAAGGAAACCAACCCTCGGTTCTCGAAGACATGCATCCAACAATGAGGCAACTACAAAATAACTGGAGATGTGGACCAGCCAGGCATGGTCTGAAATAAAGCTTCATCAGCGCTAGTCCTCATCCCGTGCTCAGTCTCAGCATGGCACCAGCATGCTCATTACTAGGTATTATGGGCGCTGGGCTTGTGCTGAGAAATAGGATGGCCCCAATGACAACGCAGAGACTCACAATTTCTCCTCTCTGAAAGGCTTCGTATTTAAGGGGAAAGAAATCTATTTCATTATTCCCTAACTGTATGCCTCAAAAATGAAAGGTAAGATTAACGTTACATTTATTGCTGCCAATGAACTTGACTTCCCATCCCCATGCCCTGGCTGCATGCCATCAGACAGTCAAAGAACCAGCAGGGGTGCAATCAGAGCAGCTACAATTGGCAAGTCCAGTGAAGTGCGAAACATTAACACCAGGTATACCATAGTCTGATTAAGTCAATCTGCCTTGGCACAGCAGGGAGCAGGTCTGAGATACGTGCTTCTGGCACAGCTGTCAATAAAAGAAATGCCAGCCCAGGAATCCCAGCCACTGTCACAGCCAACAGGGGAGGACAAGGGCAGAAGCATGGCTGGAAGCCTCATCCTCTGCAGCAGTGGTGGGCTCCAAAATCCAGGCAGCGGCATGAAAGAGGGAGCTCACTTGCTTGATGGAACCTGAAGAGCCTCTCTGCAAGCTCCAAGCACAGGTCTTCTCCACTGGTATGAGTTCACCCCGAAAACAGGCCTTTCTAAGCATCACTGAAGCAGTGCATCTGAGGCACAATTGCAAGCCTTGCCTTTACGGCCATAAGCCAACAGCAAGCCGAACAACAACTTGGCAAATTTTCATGAAATAACCTCTTCTTTTTGCCTCACTAGCTTTCTCCAGCATTACCTCAGCTCCATAGCTCAGCATTTCTA